AGTGTTGGGATGAGGAAGTTGCCATTATTTTTGAGAAAAGGATAGTAGGATATACATAACATTGTAGGTCACACGATTTTGTATGGTGAACGTTCACCAGTTACTACAGGAACCCCACTATTTACGATTTGAACTGACAATATTGGCAGACCCTGAAAGCTACTATATTATAAAATCTTCTGGTATCTGAATGAAATGAGAATATTAATTTGATAACAAGCCTGAGCATTCAGATCATACTTTAAATATTAAACACACCAGTGTATGTCGCAAGCAAGCTTTTCATCTTGTTTTTAGCAAGTTTGAGTTATTTCTCTTTGATGAGATTTTTATTCTACATTAATAACAAAGATTTGAGACTAGAACCATGCTGAACTTTTAATCAGCCTCTGGCTACACTTGTAAGTAATTGACTTCAGTTGATATGAATACTGGGGATTAAATGATAATTAATGTGCAAGACTGCTTTGTATATTTTGTGATTTTTGTAATGTAAGTAAATTGATTAACTCTTATTTCACTGATGATATTAACCAACTGTGCAGTGTACAATTAAAAAATCATGCAGCATCTCTTTAAAATTGGATTTGTGATCATAGTCATGGTATAGCTTGTGGGGCAGAGAACTTATTTTTTCATTTGTCAAAATAGGTATTTGCTGATAAGGCTTCAAGAAATATGTTGGATTTTTTAAATGTATAATAAAGTCCATGATTTTTATACAGACTTTATGTATGAAATATTTGATAATTACTCTGAATTTTATTTCTCCAAGTAATTTCAGATATTTTCAGTCTGGGGCTGGAGAGATAGCTCAGCAGTCAAGAGCACACGTTCCTCTTCAGAGGCCTGAGTTCAGTTCCCAGCACCCACATCAGATGGCTCACATTTCCTGCAACTTCAGTTTCAGTGGATCCGACACTTCCTTCTGACATTCATGGGCTTGTGCTCACATGCACAACCCCCACAGACATAATACACACATATAATTAAAAATAAGAAGACAAATACTGAAGTTTCTTTTAATCCTTTGTAACAGTTTGGCCCCATAACAGCCAAAATAGGGGGAAAAAGTCACTTATCAAGAAAAGTTTAACTTTTTTTATAGCAAAGGAAAGAGACTTCAATAACTATTCTAGTAAGTTATTTATGATACATGCTTTGTGCTGTTATCCTACTTGAAGAAATTCCTCTGGTTATAAAGGCAGGTTATTGTTTACTCCGCTTAAGTAGCTTGGACCTGCAGTTTTAATACTAATGTATTTATTCCATGTGCTCTTTGTAGTTTATTATAGCACTTAGCAAGCTCTTTCCTTCTGCTGAGAGTTTATATTCTAATTTGTTTTGAGTTTTACAAAAATGTATATGTACTTGTAGGTCAAGGGAGTGGATGAAGTTAACTAGAATTTTATAACTTATCTAATTGTGCATATGTGACCTGAGCAGACATTTCAAGGTCACTAATACTGGAAAAATTTTAGTGTTGTAAAAATAATTGTAGGTCTGTGTTTACTCAAGTAGCTAATGTAGCCATGGATCCTTATATCAGAAATCAAAGAGCTAGCCTGGTGGTGGTGGTGCACGCCTTTAATGCCATTAATGCCAGCACTCATGAGGCAGAGGCAGGCGGATCTCTGTAAGTTCAAGGCCAGCCTGGTCTACAGAGGGAGTTCCAGCACAGCCAGGACTACACAGAGAAACCCTGTCTCGGAAAACCAAAAGAATGGAAAAAAAAAAAAGAAAGAAAGAAAGAAAGAAATCAAAGAGCTTTAGTTGCACTAAAATGGACTATGTTAATGCTAAAAATATTAAAACTGAATATGGAAACTTCAATGTGATGGCTGACTGGGCTGCAGTGAAACGGAATGTATCATCTTACCTCTCTGAGGTGCCATTTGAACAAGACAAAACCTGGCTTAATGAACACCTGTACTTTTCCTCACCTTTCTCATGCAGAACACTATATATAGGAATAAAAAGTTGGTTTATTTTGTTTTGTTTTTCGAGACATAGTTTCTCTGTGTAGTTTTTTGTGCCTTTCCTGAATTCACTCTTAGCCCAGGCTGGCCTTGAACTCACAGAGATCAGCCTGCCTCTGCCTCCCGAGTGCTGGGATTAAAGGCATGTGCCACCACTGCCCGGCTTTAAAAAGTTTAAGTATCTTTTACTTATATACAGTGTAGCATAAGAATAAAAATTAATAATTAAAAATATTTTTAATTATAAAAATTTAAATATAATTAAAAATGTAATTAAAAATATTCTTTACATGTAATATAGTATAGAACTAAAAATTTAAACGGGCATCTTCTGTTGGTAGTGAGCCCTTTCTCTGTTCAGTACCAGCCTGTATTTAGTGCAAAAACCGTAAGTTCATTGAGTCGAAAACCATTTAAATTCCTCTGCCAGGGATCACATTAATCAGTAAGTGGTGAGACATAACCAGGAACTTTCAGAAAGATGGCAAATGTTTTTCCCATCAGCGATAGAATTTCAGTTCAGAGTTGTAAATGACCCTGTCTGTGTACTTGGCTATAAAGCAATGATGTCAGCTGACTGGGATTTGAGCACATGGGCTGCTAGTTTCTAGGTCATGTAATGGGCTTCTTCTGCTCAGTTGATCAGAAGACGTATTTTCTATAAAAAGATTACAAGCTGGGCGGTGGTGGCGCACGCCTTTAATCCCAGCACTCGGGAGGCAGAGCCAGGCGGATCTCTGTGAGTTTGAGGCCAGCCTGGGCTACCAAGTGAGTTCCAAGAGAGGCGCAAAGCTACACAGAGAAACCCTGTCTCGGAAAAAAAAAAAAAAAAAAAAAAGATTACAAGTCTTGGCCAGGTATGGTTGTGCACACTTCTAATCTTACCTCCAAGAGGCAGATGCAGTTGGATCTGTGAGTTCCAGGTCAGCAGAAATGAGAGAAAACAACCGTCGGATGTGGCACCTGTTATTTTGAGTGCAAAGAAATTGCATTCATACACTTACTGTAAGACCAGAACACAGTTAGAACTGGGGGTATTTCAGTCACTTGAAATCTGCTGGCTCCCAAGGCAAGCCTAGTAACCTAAAATGGCTTTGAATTTGAGGTCCTCCCACCTCACTTCCTGAACTGTTTGGATTATAGGCATGCGCCACTGCACTTGCATGAGTTTTTGGTTTTGATTTTTAATTACCTTGCAGGTTCTAGCCATGTGTTGAGAAACTATGTTCAAAGCTACTTTAAAAATTTTAAATTTAGCTGGGCGGTGGTGGCGCACGCCTTTAATCCCAGCACTCGGGAGGCAGAGGCAGGTGGATCTTTGTGAGTTCGAGGCCAGCCTGGTCTACAGAGCGAGATCCAGGAAAGGGGCAAAGCTACACAGAGAAACCCTGTCTCGAAAAACAAAAAAAAAAAAAACAAAAAAAAAATTAAATTTATTTTTGGCAATCACACATGTATATATTTTGATTATATTTACTCCATCACCTCCTTTTATCCCCCTTCCATTCCTGCTGAGCCCCTTAATAAGTTCCCCTTCTACTTTTATTATTTATTTATTTGACTCACTAGTAATTAGAGTTGCTTGCGTGAGTATGAAGACAGGGCAGTGCAAATGTAACAAGTAAGTAACTTACTGGAGGATGGACAACTTCCCAGGGTTGAACCACTGAAGAAAGCCACTCTCCTTTCCCTCAGCAGCTGTTAATTGCCAGTAGCTCCTTGGGGAGTGGTGGGGCCTCATGAGCCCTCCCTGATCCATGATGTTTTTTTTTTTTTGTTTGTTTTATTCATTTAGAAAGAGGTGTGTGTGTGTGTGTGTGTGTGTGTGTGTGTGTGTGTGTGCGCGCGCGTGCGTGCGCGTGCGCGCGCATGCGTGTGATCAGAGTACAACTTGTTAATTTTCTCCTACCACTGGGCTCTGGGGGGCAAATTCCAGTCATCAGGCTGATGTGGTCAGTGCTTTTCCCCTCTGGCACCACAATGGAATGCTGGCAGGCCCAATCTTGTGCAGGTAACCAAAGTTTCTGTGAGATCAGGAGATCACGATGACCATGTCATGTACAGTGTTTCATAGCAGCCCTCCCCATCCTCTGACTCTTAACAGTTTTTCTGTTCCTCCTTCTGCCATGTCCTTTGAGCCCCAGAGGGGGATGTTGTGACTGTTTTGTTTAAGGCTGAGCACTCAGTAGTTATTTATTCTTAGCATTTTCACCAGTTATAAGTCTTTACCTTAATTGACATCTACCGAAAAAAGAAACATCTCTGATCAAGGCTGAGGTAACTAATTGCTAATATAATGTATTTAAGAGGCAGTTTGAGAACATGTTCATTTAGCAAAACATCAGTAGGATCCTTCCTAGGGCTTATGACCTCTGCAACCTGGTACTTTAAAAACACCACCACCACCACCACTCCCCCAAACAAAAACAAAAACAAACCAGGTATATAGTACTAGGCATGAATTCCTTCTTGTGGGGTGAGTCTCAAATCCAAGCAGAGAGCAGTTGGTTAGCCCATCACATCAAGGGTACATTTTGCCTGCCAGTTCAGTACTGTAGCGTGCAGAGTCCCCAGCTGGGTTAGACTGTGATGAGTCTCCTACCCCACCCTCAGATGCCTGCATAGCAGCTCCAGCACTAGGAAAGCTAGCCAGCAAGGAGGAAACTTCAGCTCATTTCTTGATATCTTTGTGTCCAGCAACCAAAGTATGTGATGTCTTTAGCAATAGTGTCTCACCATTAAGTCATGGTGGGCAGTCAGGAGCAGGACCTGTGTTACCTGAGACTTCCGAACATCTCTAAACAGCTCATAGAGAGGTATCCCACACAGAACAACTGTAAATGATGGAGCTTACACCGAAGTTTTAATTACTGAGTGAAGAACAAGTCATTTACAACAAGTCAATTGTGAAGAAAATGCTGCAGGTTATACCTTTTTTCTCCAGAATAGGTCAGTTACCAGGCTCCTGTAAGACTTCCTTGTCCGTAAAGGTCATACTCTTTGTAAAGGACATAAGCTTTTAGACAGTTGGGTAGTGGAAGAAATGACATGAAGACAGGGCAGCGCAGACGGAACCGTCCCATACACTTCCGGATCTTAAGGCGGCACAAGTGTTGTAGAGAACGAGGGTTTGCTGAAACAAAAGGAATTGCTTTGTTTTTTGGTGACCTGAGGGTTTAGTGGACAAATGTATTTGATAATCTGTGTTAATAACATTTCTGTTTGCCATACTGTCTCTAGGGAAACAGCTCTTCAGTTCTCATCACAGCCTTCCATGAGGATAGTTTCAGAACCACATCAGTTGTGAGTCTGGCTTGTGAGACTCCCAAATCCTTCAAGTACTTAAATATCAGCTTTCCCATCTTATCTCTTTGCTGAAAGCTCAAAGACCCCAGGAGAAACGAGATTAAGAAAATCTTAATTTGACCCAGGCAAGAGAATTCATTTAGGGAGCTTCATTTTATATGCTACAGGGTTAGAACTTAGCTTTCCCTCTTGCTATTGCCAATTCATAACTTATAATTCCTGGATGAATATTGTTTCCGTAGCCATAGGTTAAATGGATTGAGGAAGAAGTGTTACCTATCTACAAGTAAGTAATTAGATTTCATTTAATGGAAATTGATGATAAGCACACATTAAGTGTAGTTATAAATAGCACCGTTGTGAAAGAATAGCATTTTTCTATTCTTTTTAGGTCAACCTTTTAATCCGAAGAATGTTCTAAAAATATAATAAAGATAAATGTTTTGGTCGGAATTTTCTGTAAGAAAGATACTCACTCAAGATAAAATGTATTTCTGACCAGAGCTTCTGTTTTTCAAGCACAGCTTTCAATTTTGAACAGATTTGAACTTGATCAACATAATCAAGCATCACACGAACAACTTTTCCAGAGAGATGCTGTAGCCATGACAAAGTTATGACTTCACAAAACTGGGAGGAGAACAAGCAGAAAGCAAATGAAAAAGCACTGAGCATCTGTAGGGTAGCAGAGTCATGAAGAGTACTAAACTCAGGCACTAGCTTGTCTGATCTCAGGTGGCCTCAGAACTCCACAAGGTAACGAGGCTTGGCAGATCGGTCCATAAGTTTGTTGCTTGGTTGTCTGCAACAAAGATAGCTTTCTAGCATCAGATGTGAGTGGGAGTCTGCACAGATACCCAGATACCCTTAAAGAAAGGGTAGACACGTGGAGCCTTCTGGCCAGCTGGAATATGGGTGTGTATTTCTCCTGTGAAACACAAAACTGTCTAGTTGGAGGATAAATTAGTTCTGGTTCTTAGAGAAGAGAATGAGACACTTTGGTTATTTAAAAAAAAACCATTTAGCGTATGGGAGTCCTCATGCATGTGCATATTCTGAGGTCAGAGGACAATGTTCTGGAGTTGGTTTTCTCCTTCCACTATGTGGGTTCTAGGAATCAAACTCAGGTCATTAGGTTTGGTGTTAAACACCTTAACTTGATGAGCCATCTTGCAAGTCTTTTGTTGTTTTTTTTTGTTTTAAGATAGAGTCTTAACTGGGTTGCTCGGGCTGGCCACAAGTAATGCCTCCTGAGTAGCTGGGACTCCATGTATGCCATCATGCCGGGCTGACATTTTATTAAAGCTTTTATTTTTTTGCATTTTCTGTTATTTAGAACCTAAATCTGATCCTGATGCTAGAACAATATGACAGTTTCTGTCTTTAAATAATTTATGTGCCCTTACACAAGATGTCAAAATGAGAGTTGAAGTTATAATATATGAGCTGTTTGGGAAATAATACCAGATGGTGTATGCCTAAATGCCAGATCAGTGTGTAAAGTAACTTGTACCCTTATTACCTAAAATAAAACCTTTCACTTCATCAAACTGTTTCAAAATCTTCCATTAACCATGTTATTTGTTTTGAATTTTTTTTTGCGGGGGGGGGGGGGGGCATGTTTTAAGACAGGGTTTCTCTGTGTAACCTTGGCTGTCCTGAAACTCACTATGTAGACCACACTAGCCTCAGACTCATATAGATCCACCTGCCTCCACCTCCCAAGTGCCGGGATTAAAGGTGTGCACCACCACAGTCCAGCCCTTGTTTTCAAATTTTGATAATATAAATTCAGGTATGTGTAGAACATCCACTGTATGCTAAGTTCAGACCTAAAAGCCAAGGAAACAAAATGAACAAGAGCTTCATTTGTAAGGAGGTGCAGAATAGTTAAAATGATGATTCTAGATAAATGCTATAAAGGAAGTCTCCATAATAAGTGAGTTGATTGAGGGAGGGAGCTACGTAAGGTGCATAGGGAAGGGCCTGTGGGAGCGGACACTTGAATAAGACCTGAAAAGTGGAAGAAGCCACTTGAAAGCCCTGGAAAAAGTTGAAGGTGAGGAAATAGCAGAGGAGGTAAGGTAAACCCAAGAAACTGCTATGTGAGTCTCTCCCTATCAGAAAGACAGCAAAAGGAAATGGGCTGATCAAGTTTGAGAGCTAAGAGAGAGCTAGCCAAAGAAACACAGTGATTAGAGGTATGGGGAACTTAGAAACATTTTAGCTAAATAAATAATTCACAGAAAAAGTAGCTAGAATACAAGATTGTGTGCATTCTTTAAAGCCTGGGCTACCAAATGAGTTCCAGGAAAGGCGCAAAGCTGCACAGAGAAACCCTGTCTCAAAACAAACAAAATAAACAAACAAAAAACCCCTTGCTCTTGTGTTCAACTTGTGAAATGTCCTCATAGTTCTGACTAAAGTCACTTTCTCCTCTGAATTATTTCTGTACTTCTTACATCTCCCTACTGTTAGGTTTAGTTATTTTATGATATATCATACTAGAGTCTTCCCAACATTGAGCTTTTCCAAGGGCATATTGTGTCTGTTGTTACAGTTCCAAGGCTACAGACAATGCGTTTAGGGAATACCACCAGTACTGTGGACTTACCAAAGTATCTTTAATAACTGTAGATGTCCAGCCTTCAAAAGTGCAAAATCGATGAACTCTGTCCCCGTGAGGACAATCAAAACACCGCTCTGTGTCATACCCATAATTCAACAGCATCCTGAGCATGACTTCATCTTTGAGTGAGTACTGTAGTGCTGATGGGAAATGCAGAGGGTTAACTCTGCAGAAGTAATTGACGTTGGCCCCGTGCCTCAGTAGTAGACTTATGAGCTCATAGTTGCCCATCCTGAGAGCTATCTGGAGGCAGTTGACTGGGTCTTGATTGGGTAGAGCTCCAGCACTCAGAAGCAGCTTAACGGAAGGGAGATCACCATTTGAAACAGCAAAATACAAGGCTGACTTCCTTTGATCATCATAATGTTTACGGATTCTCTGATCTAGCATGAAATTTACATCAAATCCAGCCTGAATGAGAAATTCCAGGCACTGGGGGTGTGCCCCAGCTGCTGCGCAGTGAACTGGACTTATCCCACTCCTCTTGATGGCAGTAATATCCGTAACTGGAACCAATATCTTTAGAGCTCTGGGGAAAAAAAATTTCAAAATGCACTCAGGTTGTTACAGTGCAGAGCTAACCTGTTTATGATCCTCTTATCCCTACATTGAATGTATATGTTAATCAGGTGGTATTTAGAATCCCTACCAAAAGTGCTAGTTTCTTCAAGAAACTCAGATGTCAAGTAAAATTTAATAAAACTACTGTTTAAGTTAAAACTGAATCACCTGAGACCCAAGACTTCCCATATTTCCCAAGCAGCTCTTTAAAAAAATTAGTTATTACTATTTCCTGTTACTTACAATTACAGAATTGAACTTACAGTAAGTGGCCTTTGTCAGCTGCCACATGAATGGGCAGGTGGCCTGAACTTTTAGGAATGTTGGCATCAGCTCCATACTCTAGCAAGAGAGTCACAGAATCTGGATTTCCTCCTCTAACGGCTTCAAGTAAAATAGAGGAGGAATCAGAAGCCTGGCTGTGAACGTTAGCCCCTAAAAAGAGGAGAAGTCTCATTAGGCAAAGATTCTTTTCCACTCTATTGCTTAAGCAACCTTAATATACCATTACCTCCACTAAAAAGTGGCTCAGCAGTTAAGAGCAGTTGTTGCTTTTCCAGAGGACCAGGGTTTGGTTCCCAGCACCCATGAGGTAGTTCACAACTATCAGGAACTTCAGTTCCAGGGGATTTGATGCTCTCTTACCTCTGGGCACCATACATACATGTGATGCACATACATGCTCGCAGACAAACACTCATACACTTAAAAATCAAACATTTTAAAACAGCACCTGTTATAGTAAAACACTAAGAATCAAAGACTAAAATATGTGCTCCCTTTTCCCAAGTGCTGTATAAAATAGTTGGGAAGAAAACCATGGGATAAGTAGTTTCTAAGTTACAGTTTGGTTGACTTTCAGAGTCATTCAATAGGTCGTTTGGCACTTGGAACTCCAGTAAGAATACTTGGTAACAGGTAGCTTGCTTTTGAGACTGGCTTAGAAAAGCCACCCTAACCCATAACATGCTTGCATGTGGAGTGGCACAACAAGCAGCTATTTCCATGTCATCTAATGATACTTTGATGAAAAGGGACATTTGTTATTTTTCAAATTATTAGAGACTTCATATAATAAAGGACCCTAATTCTTAAAGTTGAGGACTGTTGATAGCTACAAAGGTAAATGTGCCCACACTTCGTCGAGTATGTAGGTTAAGTGTCTCTAGAAGATCTAGGGCAGGGACTGGGAGGGGAGCTGGGAGCTGAAGAAAAGGAAGATGTCTGAGTCGATGCTAGATGTCTAGTGGAGCTGAGCACATTCTGAGCATATTTGGAGCTCAATAAAAAGGATGTGCCTTTAACTTAGAGCAGACTCCTTCATCACGAGGGCTGCACAAGAACCTCCTTCCTAGAATGCAGTAAGCAATCTAATAACCATTTTTGAGTGTTCACTATGTCCTGGACAGCTGGGGCTGCATAGAGAGACCCAGTCTCAAGAATCAAAGATAAATAAAAAATAAAATCTTAAAGAATTTCTAAACTTCACAATGAACCTCAGAAGTAGGTTCTAATATCCTCATTTAAAGGTGCAGAAACTCAGGCTTTCTGAGTTTAAGTTCCCCAAGGACACAGACCTAGTAGACAAGCAAGGTGATTAAGATATTTGTGTGCACATCTCCAGATCCAAGCTTACTTCTATGAGACCATGTTGCTGTTGCAGCCACACAGGGTGGTAAAGTAATGTGATTTAGAGTCAGATATGACTTCAGGTGCTGACTCACTGGCCGGCAAATGGTGGTTTGGTAAAAGATTGAAAGTTTGTTGTCTTTCCTCTGTCTCTATGTTTAAATCAGTGATCTAAACAAAGGCTTACTCTTAGGCTAGAGATGTAGTTTATTATTAGAGTTCTTTTGAAGAATGCAGAAGACTAGTTTAAACCCCAGCAAAGCGCGCGCGCGCACACACACACACACACACACACACACACACACACACTCACGACAGACAGACAGACACAGAGTCTGTCTTTCCTCAAAGATGGAAGATCTGGTGTTTACTTTTTGTTATTCTAGTGAATAACTTTTGACATCTCTTAGATCACATATGTCAGGTATCATGCTAAAATTAAAGTCATTTGTTAGAGATCTGTTTCCTGTATAGAAAAGGAGTAAGTGTACAAAGAACAGGACTGTTCTTTGATATAGGGGACTCTGCCATCTAGAGTATTGTAGACTGCGACTACATATTACTAAAAGCCAAAGATTCTGGATATAAAGAGAAGAAAAAAAGATACACTGTTGGGCCTTCATACACTGTTTTATTGGACACATTAATGATGATCTCAATGATTTATAAGTTTTCTGAGCCAAGGGTCTCCGCTACTTAACCCAAAGTCTAGAATGCTCATCACTATAATACAGTGCTGAGGTAAGGGAATGGGGGTAATGGAGGAAGTGTTGCAGCTGGTACAATCTTTGATCCTCTTTCCTCAAGTGTGGGATGAGGTTGATACCTGCCTTACATATTTAAAGGACTGTGTGTAGCACACAGACAGCTAAATGCCTGTGGGATAGAAAGTACTCAGTAAGCATGACTTATCCTCTCTTCTCATGGTTATTACTAGAGCAGAGGGCTAGGACCAAAGCAAAGCAGTCAGGAGGAATTTGCTATTATCTTAGTAACTTGATGACATATTGCCTCATGAAAACCTTGGAGGGGGTGGAGGGAAAGAAGCCAGGAGGGGGAGATGATAGCTAGATAGATGATTGATAGATAGGACAGATACAAAGTAATATTAGTAGAATATTCCTGTACACTGTGTGAAGATACTTCATTGCGATTGGTTTAATAAAAAGCTAAATGGCCAATAGCTAGGTAGGATTTTCGGAGCAGAGAGAATGCTGAGAAGAAGGGCAGAATCACTAGGAGTTGCCAGCCAGAGACAGAGGAAGCAGGAAAGCAGCATGGGCCATACAGAGTAAAGGTAATAAAGCCACGAGACAGAAAGTAAATGAATAGAAATGGGTTAATTTAAGTTATAAGAGCTAGTTAGAAACAAGCCTAAGCTGTCGGCTGAGCTTTCTCAATAAGTCTCTGTGTGGTTATTTGGGAGCTGGCTGGATGGACAGAAAACGTCCACTTACAGTAGTGGTTTTTTAAAATAATTTATATTTTATGTGCATTGGTGTTTTGCCTGCATGTAAGTCTGTGTAAGAGTGTCGGATTCCCTGGAACAGGAATTATAGGCAGTTGTGAGCTGCCATGTGATTGCTGTGAATTGAACCTGGGTCATCTAGAAGAGCAGCCAATGCTCTTAACTACTGAGCTATTTCTCCAGCCCTGGCTAATAGTGTTTTTTTCTTTTTTCTTTTTGTAAGCTGTGAGCAGCTACTGTCTACTGGGTGTTTGTGTGGTTGAGACAAAGTTGAGAGAGAGAGAGAGAGAGAGAGAGAGAGAGAGAGAGAGAGAGAGAGAGAGAGAGAGAGAACACACGAACGAACATGGATTGTTCCAGAGAGAGAGACAGAGAGACAGAGAACGAATGAACATGGATTGTTCCAGAGAGAGAGAGAGAGACAGAGAACGAACGAACATGGATTGTTCCAGAGAGAGAGAGAGAGAGAGACAGAGACAGAGAACGAACGAGCATGGATTGTTCCAGAGACTTGGTAGGAAAGGACAACCAGCACAAAAGTTTAAAACTCTTAGCATGATGAGGGAGTATTGGGCAAAAGTCATCTACAACCTTATAATTTGCAGAATTGTGTCATAAGAATTCAATCTCCACATTTAGGCTTTTAAAAAATGTTTTGTTTTGTTTTGATAGGGTTTCACTGCATAGCCTTGGCTTGGCTGTCCTGGAACTAGCTCTGTAGACCAGGCTGGCCTTGAACTCACCATCTGCCTCTGCATCCCAAGTGTAGGATTAAAGATGTGTGCCACCACTGCCCAGCTGAGTTCAGGCTTTTTAACCGCCAACATTCACACACAATTTTCTCAAACACTGGTCTTTACAAAATGTTAAAGTCTGTTATTTTGAAACATCCCTTCAAGAGGGACTCTTTGGGAGTCTAGAGAGATGACTCAGTGGTTAAGAGCACTGGCTGCTCTTCCAGAGGACCCAAGTTCAATTCCCAGCACCCACATGGCAGCTTACAACTGTTTTAACTCTAGTTCCAGGGCATCTGACTCCCTCTTCTGGCCTCTGTGGACTTTGCATTCATGTGGTAAATGTACATACATGCAGGCAAGACACTCACACACAAAAAATAGAAAGAAATAAGTCTTTAAAAACAAACAAACAATAAATCCCACCCCCCCAAAGCAACCCTTGGCTCTCAGTCCTCCTGTAATCAGTCATTAGGTCAACCTTGCCTTTCTGCAGTAATAGTTCCATGATTTCAGTGTGTCCACCTTGAGCAGCAAGGGCAAGAGGAGTAAACCCGTAGGAGCTCCGTGCATCTGGGTGGGCCCCAGAAGCCAGCATCAATTTTACCATGTCCCATCTGCCTAGCTTGGCAGCTTCATGGAGAGCAGTCCTCTCGTTGGCACATCGCAGATTGACATCCGCTCCATGGCTGATCAGCAAGGTGGCCATGTCGTAGGAGTCTTTCAGAACAGCTGGGAAATTGTGAAGTGGACATTATATTAATGTGATGTAAGGTAAGTGGTGTATAGCTAGTAACCCTCAGCTCCTTAAAGAATTCTTCCCCTCCCCTCACACTCCAGCATTTTGTGTTTAGGAAACACATTGTAAAATAAGGCAGATGCCGGGCTGTGGTGGCGCACGCCTTTAATCCCCAGCACTCGGGAGGCAGAGGCAGGTGGATCTCTGTGAGTTCGAGGCCAGCCTGATCTACAGAATAAGCTCTAGGATGGGCTCCAAAGCTGCACAGTGAAACCTTGTCTCAGAAAAACAAAACAAAACAAAAGTAATGTTCGTAGTGCTTTATATCAATGCAATGTTTGCTTTGTAAGCCATGAGTAGTTACTGTGTACTGGGTATTTACATGGTTGAGACAAAGTTTAATTATTTTCTCAAGAAAATGGGAGCTTAGTGGAGAGATTCACAAGATCCATAGGCAGTCAATGGTTGCTGGAGGATACTGAGACATTTCTTCAGCGATAGACCACTTGTAAGTTGTCCGTGCTCCTGTAAATGACCTCGTACCCATGCTTCTTTAAGCAGCCCTAATTAAACTCACTGGATCATCAAAAACAAGGGCATGAAAGGGGGGGCAGAGCTGAAAAATGGGAGGGGATTAGAGGGACGGGAGAGGGCAGTGGGGGATGGACATGACAGAGTCCATTATACACATACATGAAATATCGTGCCTAAATGCCACATCAGTGTACAAAGCAACCCCTGTATTTACCACCTGAAAATACATCACACAGCATAAAGCTTTTCACTTTGCAGAAGTGTTATAATGAAGCCGGTATTATGCGTAAGTAATGTATGCTTTTTTTTTTCTTAAAGAACGAAAGGCCAGTGAGATGGCCCCGCGGCAGAGGCACTCGCTGCCATGCCTGGTGACCTGGGTTCCATCCCTGGGTCACACATGGTGGAAGGAGAGAAACAACTTCTGCAAGTTGTCATATGACCTCCACACACGTGCCGTGTCAGTGGACCTCCCAACCACCCATAGGCAATGAGTAAACAAATGTAAAAATATTATAAAAAGGAAATAAAATGCATGTTTACCTGTAAATTCCTTCGGAAGGACAGAAATGCTAAGGCCAGTCTAAACTTGACCTTGCTGTCTACTAAAATTGCTCCTTCACCCGTGACATGGAATGGTGGTGACAATTTTTGCTTACATGTTAATTCTATTTTTGGAATTGTTTATGAAAAACGACTTTACTAAAAGTGAACTCTGTATTTTTAATGAGAGTCTAAATGCTTAGTACAGTCCTAAGATGCCCGCAGCTGCTTAGCAGGGGCCACTCACAGCAGCTGAAGCCACCTCAGCAAACGGATGGACGACTAAGATGTAATTTCAAAATGTGTAGGGGAATGGCACTGCTCACGGGAACTGAGAGTGTGGACCTGGTTCCCAGAGTGTGCAGTACAGAATGCTCCCTGGGCTTCTTTGCGCCGAAAATGATCATGCAGTTAGCAACAACCACAACAAAACAGTGTGCTGGCCTGGATCCCCGCACCACCAACACACAACATGAATAAAGGAAAGGCAAAAATCCAGAGAGGAACCCAGCCTTTCCCCATCATTGTGAACAACTTCAGAGGTTAATGTGTGTTTGCTTTTCACATGTCACTTTTACATACACTACCATCACGCAACACACTCGAGGTTTCGAGAGGGGGGACTGACCCGCAGTTTCTCTGGTGTAGTGCTCTGTAGTGTATGCACGGCCTTCTCAGAAAGAGTCAGGGCCATGGAGACAGCTTCGAGCAGTGTGGTGTTGATAAATTCCATTTGTGCTGGATTTAAAGAGCCAGCCACTAGAATTCTTCATCTTTCCCAGCTATCTTTGCTCTTCCTCCGAGGATTTTTTTTTTTTTTTTTTTTTTATGTTTTGTTTCTTGGGACACAGTTTCAAAATCCATGCTAGCTTTTTTTTTTTTTTTTTTTTTTTTCGTTTTTCGAGACAGGGTTTCTCTGTGTAGCTTTGCGCCTTTCCTGGGACTCACTTGGTAGCCCAGGCTGGCCTCGAACTCACAGAGATCCACCTGCCTCTGCCTCCCTCCCGAGTGCTGGGATTAAAGGCGTGCGCCACCACCGCCCGGCCCATGCTAGCTTTTAACCCACTGTGTGAGTTAAAAGTCAGGAACAGTTGGTCACAAGCGAAGTCACCACAACCAGTTGTCTGAAAGCTAGAAAGCGGGTCTCTGTGTCTGGCCTGCAGGTACCGAATGGACAGGGCCCTAACTGTAAAAGCCTGTGGGGATGGAGGAGACCTAGACCCTTCTCCAAAAACAAGGTGTTCATTTACCTGTAAGAAGAGGAGAATTGCCTTCCAAATTCTTAGCATTTGGATCGCAGCCATTGAGAAGGAGAAAATGGGCATTTTCTAGGAGGCCACCGCTGACAGCCAAAAAAAGTGGTGTTTCACCGTTGTGGGTGGTCTGTTCCCACACACTGGGTTTGGAAGCTGAAACAAATTCATCACACCACACAGGTTAAGATGCAGAAATAAACTTATTCTTCAGAAGCATCAAGAGGAGTGGAAAGGAGTTTACCATTCAGGGTTATTTCTAAGATGTTCTTATTTAACTGCACTGCCGCCTTATGCAGAGGAAGCCAGCCGTCCCCATCGGCTTCATCAAATGCAGACTGGTACTTGGTTAAGTGTGCCAATGCACCTTCCTTACCTGGTACAAGGAAAACAAAGCAGATTCACATTTGGCACACACAGGAGCCCACGCTACTTCTGAAATCTACCACCACGGCTGGAGTGAAGAAGAGTCCGAGCACCATCTTCAGTGACAGGCAAGTTTAGCCGTCATAGGACCAGCACCGAGGCTTTGTACCCAGCATCCCTCCCACCCAGACCCAGGACCACCCCCAGCTCTGTCTGCACAGGAACTCTGGCGTTCTTTGATAAGTTATGTTGAGGTATTCTCCCAGAAAAGGCCACTTCAGATTCTGGGCCCCTCAAATGCCTGGTCTGTAGGAGACTGTTTCCAGGCTTTTGGAGCATGGAAGGAAATGCTGCTGCCACCGCTGTACCTCAGTATACATTGAAGGGAGACTAGGAAGAGTACTTAACTGTCTCTATTGCTTCAACTATCTCCTTATAGTCAGCACTCGAAATGGAATGGGATCTGCATAGAAAAAAATCTGTAGTTATAAACCTGCTGTTTCTGATGGAAGCCCAAAGGAAAAGGCAAAGACCGCAGTCATTACTCAGGGATGAACTCTCATAGGAGGCAGCCAACGAGACCCAGTGGAAACACTTGCCACGAGGGTGGGCGTGCAGCTTAGTGTTAGAGTGCTTGCCTAGCATGCAACATCCTAGGTTTGATCTCCAGTGTACATGTGAATGCATGCACACACTCACCCATGCACACTCACATACGTGTGCTTGTGCATGAGTACAAGGGTTGGGGGAGTGAGAGACCATTTGTGAACTGTAGAACGTTTCTCAACACATTATAGGGAAACCGCCTCTCCAGGTCTGCCATCCCTCATTAGACATAACTTCTTGGAGGCAAGGAGACAGGTCTAGTTGGGAGTCTAGACTGCAGTGTGTGCCTTCAATAAATGTTGCCGAACTGACTCAAACCTGTCTGACATTGAAATAGCATTGTACCACATGAAAAAAAAATTGCTAGCTACTCTATGATTTAGCAAAAATTATTGTTAAAAAGTACATAGTCAGGGTGTGAATTCCCCATAGTCAGAATTCTTTCTCAGGAAACAGTAACAGTTTAAATTCTACTTTTATCAAAATATCTACACATGAAAGCATTGTATGTGAGTTTTTAAATTTTGAGACAGGATCTGACTGTGTAGCCCAGGGCTGCTTCAGACCCCTGCCTTGTGTCTGCCTCAGCAGGGATTGTAGGCATGCGCCACTGTGCCTGGATTCAACACATGCATCTTAGATGATTTTCTCTGATTACTCAATGAGTCCAGGTTGGAGAGAATGACTTTTCTTAGACGCTTGGTCCTGTTCACAACGTGGCCAGTTGATTCTCCTTTAAAACAGTGCTCACAGGTGTAGTGCTGTATTCGTTTCCATACATTCTGTAAGAATGACTGCACTGTTACTGACTTAAAACAGCACAAATCCGTTACTTTACAGTTCTTCGGTTCTGGACGCTCACACAGATCTGGCTCCTCCTGAAGGTTCTAGATAAAATTCTCTTTCCTTGTCTTTTCCACCTTCTGGAGCCATCACACGGTTGGGATGTGGACCCGTTTCCTTCTTCAGGTCCTTGATTGGGGGTCCTCCCTCCTGTGACACCTTCCAGGGGCTCCCCTCTTCCTGCCCCCACCCTTCACCTTTCAGGGCCCACCTGGGTCACCACGCTAGGTGATTAGCATCCTTAACTCCGTTTAGCTTTACTTCAGTTTGCTAGATAAGGTTTGTGTACTCAGGGTCTAGGAATTAGGGAGTAAGCGCCTTTAGGCGGCCACTATTCCACATAACACAAGAATATTCTCTCCCGCCCCCCCCCCCCCCAAGACAGAGTTTCTCTGTGTAGCTTTGGATCCTGTCCTGGATCTTGCTCTGTAGGCTGGCCTCAAACTCACAGAGATCCGCCTGGCTCTGCCTCATGAGTGCTGGGATTAAATGTGTGCGCCACCACTGCCGGCAAGAATATTCTTGTTTTCTTTCGTGTGTGTGGTCCGCGTGTGTACATGTTCACGTGTGTGCATGACTATTCATGAGCACGAGCAGAGGTCCCCATCTGGTGTCCTCCTCCACCGCTCCTCCACCGCGTCTTTCAAGATAGGCTCTCTCACTGGGAGCTCATCATTTCAGTCAGATTGGCTGTTGAATGGCAATGAACTGTGGGTACTGACATGTCTCCGCTTCCCCGAGTACTAATGTTGCAGATGTGCACCACCATGTCTCTAACTTATGTGGGTGCTGGGGACCCACACACCTCATGTTTGTGCTGCAAACTTTATCCAGCCTCCATTCTAGATTTCCAACACTAGCGAGTGCCTGGCCCAATCATCAATCTTCTCTGGGTATTGTAGAGGTTTCAAAATTTAGTAAATGAAATTTATGTAATGACTACCATTTCAGTTTCTGTGAAATATTTCCATACTTTAGTTAGTCAGAATCTCTTACACTTTTAGACTAAAGGTATTAATTCAACATCAATTGCTTGGTTGTGCGTTTTAAAACCACAATCATAAGGCTGATGTGACAAGACAACCTAGTAAGTCTGATTTATTTGTAAAACTTTAAGCATTTAAATACTGTTTTAATCATCATCCTAAAGTGAACACCAATGTCTAGGAATAGTGGTGTGGTGGGAATCACAGACTGTGGACCCCCCGGCTCTTCATCAGCTGAGTGAACTTGAAATAGTTACTTTTCTGTGCTTTAGTTTCCTTCTTTCTAAACGAGAAAATGAACAGGACCTCTGCATAGAGAAGTAATGAGAATTAAAATTTAAGTGAGTTAATAATTATGAACAGTTCATGGCATATTGTGATCACACCATAAATTTGTTACAGTTAGAAAATACTATAGGATGCTGGAAATACGACTCAGTGATTAAGAGCATGTACTGTGCCGGGCGGTGGTGGCACACGCCTTTAATCCCAGCACTCGGGAGGCAGAGGCAGGCGGATCTCTGTGAGTTCCAGGCCAGCCTGGGCTATAGAGCGACATCCAGGACAGGCTCCAAAGCTACACAGAGAAAACCCTGTCTTGGAAAAAAAATAAAAAACAAAACAAACATAAAAGCAAACAAACAAAAGAGCATGTACTGCTTTTGCAGAGGACCAGAGTTTGGTTCCCAGCACCCACACTGGGCAGTTCACACCCACCCCTAACTCCAGCTCCAGGGGGGCACCCGTACTCAAATGCATAAATCCACCCCCCCACATCCAATATACAAGATAAATCTTTAAAAATCCTATAGGTTTGATTTAACCCTCATTTTCATATTTAACTGTAAGATCATTTGAGGTTAAAAACTATCCTGCTTTATCTGAGCAGGTGAATAGAGGTTGCCATGCCAAGCAACCTGGGTTTATCACCCAGAAAAACAATGGTTTCAACCTCCGAAGGCCAACGTTGCCGATCAGAGAGCATACATGAAGCTGTGCATGACTGTGAACTGTCCACACCGAGGGTAAGGGCGAGTCTTACGCCGTTCAGAGACCTCGTGGCTGTTTCCTACCATACTGCCAACAAAACTTGAATCCCTTCACCCAGATGCATCAGTCTCTTCTGAGGTTACAATCGGTCCTTGGATCTGGGTAGATGAAGACTGGGCTCCTCACCTGCCTCGCTGAGGGAATTTTCCGTGTGTCTTGGTTGGGTTCATGTATGCCTTTAACTCCCTAAGGACAGTTGGGTATGGTCTTCTCTGCCCCTCCCTAGCCTTCATTCATTTCTTCCTCCTGCTTTCCAGTGTGCATCTTCTCACCCAGAAATGTTGTTACCCCCTTCAACTATTTTCTTTACTTATTAAATTCTTAATCTTTCCAAGACTTTTTTCTGTGCATCTGGGCATCATATCCTATACACACTTAAGTTGCAGTTATTCGTTGGGAATGTAGCTCAGTGGTATAGTGCATGCTTTGCAGCCCTGTGGCCTTGGATTCAATTCCAACCACTACTGAAAAAAAAAAAAAAAAGGACAAGTATGGTGGTTTGAAAGAAAATGGCCCCCAAAGGAAGTGGCACTATTAGAGGGGGGGCTTGTTGGAGGAAGTGTGGCCTTGTTGGAGGAAGTGTGTCATTGTGGGGGTGGGCTTTGAGGTCTCTTTTCTCCAGTTTCACTAAGCGTGACAGTGAGTTGACTTCCTGTTGCCTGCGAGATGTAGGACTCTGAGCTATTCCTCCAGCATCATGTCTGCCTGCATGCCGCCATGATAATAATGGACTGAACCTCTGAAACTGTCAGTGAGCCCCAGTTCAATGTTTTCCTCTAAGAGCTGCCGTGGTCCTGGTGTCTCTTCAGAGCAACAGAACACTGACTAAGACCCTCCCTGTGCTCTCTCTGCCTTCCCCTTCCATTTTTGTCACATTAGCGTTAGGATCATGACTCGTCTCAACTGTTGAATACTTCTTAACACCCGTTGCCCATGAGGAAGACATTACCTCTCATCTTCTGATGTGGGCTGAGTTAGTCGTGGCTTGTAAATATCCAGCAAACTCCGTTGAATGATGAGTTGGGTGTCAAAGTCAGCATCTGCGTCCTCATCACTGTTGGAGTAATCCATGTGCAACTTGGATAGGTTCACTTTCAACTCAGAGTGAGTTCAGGTAGTTTTTCCAGTTGTGAAAAGATTTTCAACTGCTTAAAAATATGGGTGACATTTAGAAAACTAGAAAGTTGATAGGATTGAATAATGAAGAAAATGCAAATTTTGAAAACAAAATATTCATTTGAAAATTTCCCATGAATTTAAATGTTTTCTGGATTGCCATAGAGTCAACGTAAATTAGAAGTTTCTGTAAATAGACATTTATTTAAAGCTTATTCAAGAAAACCTTCCTTTCACATGAGACTTAGGTTATAAATCATTGCCAACTATATACACCAAAGGTTAATGTCTAAAATATGTAAAGAACTGCAAAAATTAAGTACCCAAGCCCTCAAATGATCTAGCCAATCTGAAGGCTAATGAACTGTATAGATAGTCCTCAAAAGAAGAATTTAAACGGCCAGTCAATGAGATGCCCCGGTGCCAGAAGGTGCTCACAGCCTCTGGGGGAGAAAAGACATCAACAGCCGTACCCAGCACTGGATCCTGCATATCACAGGAACAGCATGTTTAGGAAGAGATGCCCAGGAGTGTGAGAACTAACCACTTTCTGATGGGCCATGAGACCTGCTCCACAGGAGGGACTTCATGCTCGGGACTGTCAACCTGGTCATCCTGCTTGAGATCAGAGACTTTTGCGGGGGGTGGGGGGGGTGTGGTGGGGGTGGGTGGGAGTGGACCTAGCATTGTTGTTTTACAATTGGCACACTGCCAAACTGCTTTCTAAATATTTATGTTTATAACCATAGATTTGTGCCGCTCTACTCTTTGCTACAGAAGCTCCTGTTTCAATGAGTAGTGGTTAATATAGAAACCCACACATGGTTTAAGTGTGGGGTATAAGTAACTGTGAGGGCTCAGCTGTGGGTGACTCCTAGATATCCACACCCCCCATCTCAAGGCACACTGAGGAAGAAGGGGCAGGAAGGATGTAAGAGCTGGCAGCTGGGAGGGGGGGAGCTGCAAAGTGACTTTCGGACAGGATACAGCTGTTGCACACGGGATGGCCCCACACCCATGTACATATCCGGGTGGCACTGATTGGGCTCAGGTGGCGTTTGATAGCAGTGAACTAGAGGACATGAAGCTGGGAGGGGGCCAGAGTGGGAGGTACCAAGAGGAACTGGAGAGAAGTAGTGGTGAATGGAGATCAAGACAGCTTGTATAAATGCATGAAATTTGCAACGAATAAATAAAAATACGGTTTACCAAACAAAAACCAACCAAAAGAAAATGGCCAGCAAACATCTAAAACACTGTTCAACGCCAGCTTCCTTAGCCATTAGGGAAATACAAATTAAGCCTCCTTTGGAGATGGCTCAGTTCATACACTGACATGAGGACCTAGGTTTGCAGCCCAGCACCATGTAAAAAGGCGGGTGTAATGCACACATTTCTAACCCCAGTGCCAGTTTAGACAATCGGTGAGCACAGGGGTAAACGAAAGTGTGAGGCCTGGTGTCAAAAAATAAGGCGGAGTAGATCTCTGTGGTCTCCAAAACAACACAGGCTATTGTCGTCACCCTGTTTACTCACAGTGACTCCTGGTTCATGGCTATCAAACGCCACCCGAGTCCAATCAGTGCCGCCCATATGTGAACATGGGCGTGAGCCCATCCCCTGGAGCGTGAGCAACCTACCAGAAAGCCACATCCCTAAAAGAGAGTGACCTTCTCCCCGTCAGCAGCTATCAACTGTCAATAGTTCCTCAGCGAGATGCACTGGCATTTAGCCTGGTTTCATTTTATGAAGGTGCTGTGAGTAACCACAGCTGCTGTGCACCAATGTGTGCAACAACTATATGGTGTCTGAAGTCTCACTTTGCAGCTCTCCTCTCCTCCTGCTGAAGACGCCACATCCTTTGGCTGCAGGAAAAAAAAAATCAATCTCAAACAACCAGTAAAATTTATCCCTGATGGCTAGCTTTCACAGTAACCATGGTTACCTGCAAGAGACCTGCACAAGATCAAACTCATCAAGTTCTGGTGTATATGGAACAGACAATCTCTGTCCCATCCCTTATTGCAGAGCTACTGTCAGCTGATATATTCTAGGTGAGTGAAAATCATTTTTTAAAAAGATGTGATTACTGATAGGATTCCCATGCTCCAAGGCATGGCCCCACATTCACCCACGCACGTATGGAGAGCACTAACTGAACTTAGTGGGTTATAAAAAAGAAAAAAAAACCCACAAAACAAAAAAAGGACAAGAAGCTTGGAGAATGACATGTTGGGGGAAATATATGACCATATTTCATTGTATGCACTCATAAAAATGTCAAGAATAAATAAAAAATTAAAAATGAGGTGGACAGCAATAGAGAAGTAGATCCCACATCGTCCTCTGCCTTACACACACACACACACACACACACACACACACACACACACACACACGCACGCACGCACACACTACATGAAATTAGACAGGGACCATAAGAGGAAATGGTTTTAAAGGAGGGGGAGGGGAGGAAAAGAGAGTGATGGAAACATATGAAAGTCAAAAGGGGAACTGTATGGGGAAGGAAGGGACTCAGAAAGAAAGACAGGGGAGGGCAATGTCGGGGAAGGGAACAAGTAAAGTATAATGACGGATGCGTCTGAAAATCTCACAATCAAACCTGTTTATATGCTAACTTCAAAATTTAAAGCAAAACGGTAAAAACAACAAAAACAAACAAGAAACTACCTGTGAATAAATAATTAAATGAAACTTTAAAGGGATTTAAAAAAAAGCCCAGGCCATTTTTGCAATACAGAAAGTGTTTATTATTGACTTATTGTGGACAGGGCATGTGAGTTTTTCCTCAGTGATTCTAGCACCCAAAAGAAGATCTTCCCTATACAGTGAATGTTGTGCTAAAAATACTATTTTATCTAGTAAACACTAAAAGTGACATGCTAGGGAATGAATGCACCACAAAGAATAGGGATAGCAGTAGTTAAGACGAGCCAGTGTACTAGGCAATATCTAAATGGTTTAAAAAGAACATTACTATAGAACAGGCTCTAAAGACTTATTTTTACCTTTTTAAATATCTTCTAGGACTGCTCTGAAGTTTCCATGTTGCAGGTATCTGGATCTCCACTCCCCTCTGGTGACCATTATAAATAGCTTTACTATAAATACTTAATCATAAGACAGTCTGGCATGTTTTCCTTGTTTTTCACACGTGGGTTTGTGCTGTCTGGAAACATGACCTCTTTTCTTCACTGCCAGATTCGTCAGATTTAAAAGATTTCATCTTATTTGGGAGATGGAAAGTATTTTCAGGGGATTAGCCATGGGAAAAAAAAAAATCATTTTCTTAAGACTTAGGCACATGGCCACTGGAGACCAGAATTTCTCACTTAAGAGGTGTTAACATTCTGACCCGCCCCTTGAAATCCTGCTTCTTGGGCCACACTGCGTCCTGGTGTAAAAACCTCCTTTTAAGGAAAACTCCTCCCACGAGGTGTGCACCCTTGACCTCTCTCTCTCTCCTCTCTCTCTCTCTCTCTCTCTCTCTCTCTCTCTCTCTCTCTCTCTCTCTCTCTCTCTCTCTCTCTCTCTCTCTTCTCCCCCTCTTCCCTGTCTTTCTCTTCATCTCCCCTTTATAATAAACTTTCCACATGGATGCAGTGCCTGGGTGTGAAGGACTGTCCACATGCTGCTGCCTCCTGCATCTGCCCAGCATTTTTCCCCTCATGAGTGGGCCCTGGTCTGGCCAGCCTTGGGTCCTCCGCGTGCACAATTCATAACATTGGTCCCCAGTGTGGGGCAATCCCACTGCCTTCTGCCCACTGACAAGCTCTGGGACTCTGTTCTGCCCACCATTTTTCCAACTGGAACACCACCAGGGACCCTGTGGGATTGGTAAGATTCCTCCCTTCCCTTCTGGCCATTTTCCCACAACTGAGGATTCCTCTCAGTTTGCTTGCTGGTACCACACGTCTTTCAGGCTTTAGGCCCCCTGGCCCCTGGCCCTATGCGGCAGCATATGGAAACGGCCTGTGCCCACTCAATCCCGCGGCCCACAGCCTTTGTCACGATGGTCCACGGGCTGTCTTGCACCGTTATCATTGGCCCTCGCTGACCCTCTGGGACACTCGAGGTCAGTTTACAAGGCCTTCTACCTAACTGTGGAAAAATGTGCCTACCCTACCCCAGCTCCCTCCTCATCACCCACCTCCCCATGCTCCTCCAGTGTCTGCTAAGCAATTATGTCATCACCTGTCGCTAGGTTCCTTTCCACAACACGTAAAATTGCCTGCCAGGAAAAGCTCGCTCTCTCTGCCTGTCCCTGGCCTCTAATTCCTCTCCTTGTCCGTAATTGTATCTCTTAAATGTTTTCCCAATGCCGCTTAACTCTGTTGCCAGGACCTGCTATTCCAACCGAGGGAACTTGGCGTGAAGCCCCTTCTTCCCCTCTGGCAGCCTGTGGAGTGGCCGCAGAAATGTCTGTTCACTTGACTGTATTTCTGCTGCTGCCCCTGCTCGCGCTGCTGGGTCAAGCCAGGCGGAGCATAGACCCCTGCCCCCACGCCCGCCCGCTTGCACCATGCTGCAGCTCAAGGAAGGCGTCCCTCTCTCCCGCCAGGCTGCACTGCTACTCTGTTTCCCAGTCGGCCCCACAGCACCGCCTCCGAGCTCCAATGCGTTCCAGTAAAGTTTCCCAAAAAACTTTTCTCCATCTTTCTTTCACAAAGTCTATTTCCTATGTGTGAATGGAAATGTATGACTGATATGGCCATCTATATTTCTTTCTGACTTTGAAACACTTCAGTTTATCTGTTCCTTATCTGCTCAGACATGAACACATGGTCAGGCGCATATTTGATAGGGGCCGATCATGTGGTCAGGCAGCGCCATCTTAAACAAGGGCAATGATGTGATCAAGCCGTCGTCCTAAATACGTCAAAATGGACAGGTCATATGACCTCACTGCCATCTTTACTAAGGGCACCAGGAAGTCACTTCCTGACTCAAGTTATGGGCGGGGCACGCAGCCCGATAGATAGAGTTCCAGTCAATGGAGTTCCAGTTGTGGCCTGGTGTTTGTTCCTCAATGGCCGCTTGTGTGGGTGGGAGAGCTGTCTGGGTGGGGCAGAGGTCCAATCGTGGCCTGTCCTTAATTCCTCTGTGACCACTAGTGTGGGTGGGACCCAGAGACGTATGCATTCCCCTCTGGGGCATCAGCAGAACCATTATATTAAGATTTTAAAATTTCAGATCTTAACATTAATACAATTCTGATACACTTTGGGTCACAAGCGCAGGATTTTAAATTTTTCTTGGTTGTTCATTACCTGCTTTTCCTGATTTGAATTTCAATGCTGATTGGTAATACTAAGGTATTTAAAACTTTTTTTTTAAGATTTATTTATTATGTATACAGCATGTATGCCTACAGGCCAAAAGAGGGCACCAGATCTCGTTACAGATAGTTGTGAGCCACCATGTGGTTGCTGGGAATTGAACTCAGGACCTCTGGAAGAGCAGTCAGTACTCTTAACCTCTGAGCCATCTCTCCAGCTCCTGGTATTTAAAACTTTTATGTCATTTTGTAAGATAATTCCTATAGGCCTCAGAGGATTGAAAGAGTCATAAAACCTAGATCCACTTCACAGAGGTTGGAAGGACTCCAGA